GGTCTAGTGGTAACTCCCTCAGCTTTTGTTTATCCAAGAACATCTTAATTTCTCCCCCATTTTTGAAGGAAAGTTTTGCCAGATACCAAATCTCAATTGATAATTTTGTTCTTTCAGAACTTTGAATATGTAAACCTACTGTCTTCTGGCCTCTAATGAGAAATCAGCTGATAATCTTATTGAGGGTAGCTTGTCTGTGATGAATTGATTCTCCCTTGCTGCTTTCAAGATTATTTTTCTTTGTCTTTCACCAGTCTGATTATAAGGTGGGGTTTTTTTTTTAATTTTTATTTTTTTTTGGATGTACATCATATTTCGAATTCTGTGTACATTACATCATGTTCACCACCCGAACACTAATTATAGTGCATCCCCTCACATGTGAGCCTAATCACCCCTTTTGCCCTCCCCCCTCCCCCCTTCCCCAATGGTAACCACCAGTCCAATCTCCAATGCTATGTGGTGTGGGGGTTTTTTGTTGTTTTTATCTTCTACTTATGAGTGAGATCTTATGGTATTTGACTTTCTCCCTCTGACTTACTTCACTCAGCATAATACCCTCAAGGTCCATCCATGTTGTCACAAATGGCCGGATTTCATCATTTCTTATGGCTGAGTAGTAGTCCACCATGTATAAATACCACATCTTCTTTATCCATTCATCCCTTGATGGGCACATAGGTTGCTTCCATGTCTTGGCTATTGTGTATAATGCTGCAATGAACATAGGGGTGCAAGTATCTTTATGCCTTTGTGTTTTCAAGTTCTTTGGATAAATACCCAGCAGTGGGATAGCTGGATCAGATGGTAGATCTATCCTTAATTCTCTGAGGATACTCCACACTGCTTTCCATAGTGGCTGCAGCCGTTTGCACTGCCACCAGCAGTGAACAAGGGTTCCCTTCTCTCCACACCCTCTCCAACATTTGTCGTTTCCTATCTTGTTAATTATAGCCATTCTGACCGGAGTGAGGTGATACCTCATTGTAGTTTTGATTTGCATTTCCCTGATAGCTAATGATGTTGAGCATCTTTTCATATGTCTGTTGGCCATGTGTATATCTTCTTTGGAGAAATCTCTGTTCAGATCTTTTGCCCATTTTCTAATTGGATTGCTGGTTTTTTTTGTTGTTGAGCTGTATGAGTTCTTTGTATATTTTGGATATTAACCCCTTATCTGATATATGGTTTGCAAATATCTTCTCCCAATTGTTAGGTTGTCTTTTCGTTTTATTGATGGTTTCCTTTGCTGTGCAGAAGTTTTTTAGTTTGATGCAGTCCCATTTGTTCATTTTTTCTTTTGTTTCCCTTGCCCAGTCAGACATGGGACTTGAAAATATGCTGCTCAGACCAATGTCATAGAGCGTACTGCCTATGTTTTCTTCTAGAAGTCTCATGGTTTCGGGTCTTACATTCAAGTCTTTAATCCATTTTGAGTTGATTTTAATGCATGGTGTAAGGGAATGGTCTACTTTCATTCTTTTGCATGTGGCTGTCCAGTTTTCCCAACACCATTTATTGAAGAGACTCTCCTTTCTCCATCATATGCTCTTGGCTCCCTTGTCGAATATTAGCTGTCCATAAACGTGTGGGTTTACTTCTGGGCTCTCAATTTTGTTCCATTGATCTGTGTGTCTGTTTTTGTGGCAGTACCATGCTGTTTTGGTTACTATGGCTTTGTAGTATAATTTGAAACCAGGGAGTGTGATACCTCCAGCTTTGTTCCTTTTTCTCAGGAATCCTTTGGCTATTTGGGGTCTTTTGTTGTTCCATATAAATTTTAGGATTCTTTGTTCTATTTCTGTAAAAAATGTTGTTGGAAGTTTGATAGGGATTGAGTTGAATCTATAGATTGCTTTAGGAAGTATGGACTATAATGTGTTTTGATGTGAGTCTACTTGAGTTCATCCTACTTAGAGTTCACTGAGCTTCTCAGATTTGTAGATTCATTTATTTCATCAAAATTTGAGAAGTTTTCAGCCTTTATTTCTTCAAATATTCTTTCTTCCCTTTTCTCTCTCTCTTCTCCTTCTGGACTCCCACAATGCATATATCGGTCTGCTTGATGGTGTTGCACAAGTCTCTGAGCTTCTGTTTATTTTCATTCTTTTTTCTTTCCTTTCCTCATACTCAATAATTTCAATTGTTCTATCTTCAACATTCATCAATTCTTTCTTCTGCTTACTCAAAATTGTTTTTTAATCCCTCTAATGAACTTTTCATTTCAGTTACTTTACTTTCACCTGCAGGCTTTCTTAATTCTTTTTATAATTTCTATTTCTTGATATTCTCATTTATTTATACATAATATTTCTGTATTTGTACATCTTCCTTTAGCTCTTTGAACATCTTTAAGACAGTTGTTTTAAAGTCTTTGTCTTGTAAGCCCATCATCTGGGCTTCCTTAGGGACATTTTCTGCTATTTGTTTGATTCTTTTGAATAAGTTATACTTGCCTTTTCTTTGTATATATGCCTTATGATTTTTTTTTGTTGTTGAAACTAGACATTTGAATCTTCTAATTTGACACAACTGCAAATCATTTTCTTCCCCTTCTCCAGGGTTTGCTGTTTTTGTTTGTTTCATTTTGTTTTGCTTTTTGTTTTATTGTTGAAAGTGTCTCTGTCCCTGGGATCAGCCTGAGGTGAAAATCTGAGATCTTCTTGGGTTTTCTCTGAGCCTGTGTCTTTCTCTATGCACGTGTGGTGACTTTCTAAACATCCTATAAATGTGATTGCTTGTGAATGTCATAATCCTTAAACATCTGGCTCCCCAAAGGTAAAAAAATGGAAAAAAAAGATAAAAGAAAAAAAACAGGTGCAGTTCATTTAAATCCTCTGGAGGATACTTTAGCCAGTGAGGCTTGAAATAATGGAAGCCAGTCTCTGTGCCTGCACCTCAGTGATCAGAAGCTGCTGTAAGCAATCAGAACACTGAACCTTGATATTTGGAGGACAAGGTCCTTATTGCTTACCCTGACTCCAGCAAGACATGAGCAGTTGTCTGCCACAGGGCTATGGGTTGGGTGATAGGTAGCCGCTACCATGCTTAAGGCTTAAATTAACCAAAATTAACCATAATTTACCAGCCAAATGTCCCTCTGGAAGTTGCAAGCATTAAAACCGTGTTCAGAGGCTGGCCTGGTGGAATAGTAGCTAAGTTCACAAGCTCCACTTCAGCAGCCTGGGATTCACAGGTTTGGATCCCAAGTGCAGACCTAGCACCACTGGTCAAGTCACCCTGTGGCAGCATCCCACATAAAATAGAGGAAGCCTGGCACAGATGTTAGCTCAGGGCCAATCTTCCGCACACACAAAAAAAGTCTCTAAAATTCCAAAATGGTTACTTCAGACAGTTTCTGCCTGTGTAATTGTCATCTAGATGGAAAAAAGGATTCCTGGCACTTCCTACTCCACCATTTTCTCTAAGGTCTCTGTAGGCAATCCAATTTTAAATCTTACTTTTTATAATAATTTGACTGTTCCCCAAAAGTTAAATGTAACAGCCAAGAAAATTACAAAAATAACTAATAACTTCAAGTGATAGTTATAACCAATAAAACCTATTGTGAAATGTGTTTTTACACTAGTTTAAACAATTGTGTGCAATCACATAATACTTTAGTATGTTTGTGTTGCAAAGTTGTGATGTTCCTTTTCAAAATGAGATGAAATCCTGAGTCATTCTGAATCTCAGACCAGCTAAGAAACTAGCCTAAATTCACACTGCTAGAAAAACAACAGAGATTCCAACCCTGGAATGTCTAACTCCAGAGCTCATGCTTTTTCTACTAATTCTCATTACATTTTTATATAGCTGGACTTCAGTTTGAACTAGTAGTTATTATGTACGACGACTTACATAGGCTATGGAGCCAGACTGTCTGTGTTCAAATTTTGGCTCCATGCCTTACTAGCTATGTGATCTTGGGTAAGGTACTTGTGTGACTCAATTTCCTCATCTATAAAATGAGAATGGCAACACTGTCTATAATTTCTAGAACATGAGATTATTGTAAGAAATAACAAGTAACCTATGCAAAGTCTTTACAACAGTGCCTCGTTAACAGTTTTAATCATTAAAATGTTAATCGTATCTTTAAAGCAAAGTACTAGAGTAGGGATTCTATAAGTTAACTTCAATAATCAGAGTTTTAAGATTTGAACTACTCATTGTTCTAGAACGAATAAAAATAGAGGGTCCCAAAGCAGTAGAAAAGCTTGAAGGATTTCATAATTATGAGTGAAACTAATGAAATAAATGACTTTAACTGAAATTTTATTATTAAGAATCTTCAGTATATTTCTCCATTTAGTGTGATGAGGTTTATCTGTTTTTAAACTAAATGAATCTAAGTTTAATTATTCTCAATAAATCATTAATATGTCTTTAGAAAATACTGGTATGTGTGAATACACTCATGGTAGGGAATAATTAGGGATATAAACTGCTGGGGGAAATATTCTCCTTAAACATACCATCTTTAATACGTTAACTCTTTAAGAATGATAGAAATGTTATAGCTGTCGACCAATACCTATATATATATCTCAACCAATAACGGAGTAAAAAAAAAGGAAAATGTATACATGCAAAATCAAGAGGGGCCCTGAATAACAAATCTGGTTGCAGCAAGGTTTAAAATATTGACTCAATCTTCCTTTTTAAAAAAGCCTAAAAAGGGAAAGAAAATGCGGTAAAAACTCCTTTATAACACTCTTCTGGAAAACAAGATGGTTAATCATCTCATGTGCCAATTCTGTTATATCAAGTATTTCAAAACGCCATGTTTTCTGAAATTAGAGAGATTATTTGAACCCTAATTTCTCTAAAAAACTCAAAAGCATAGGGTTCTGTGTTATAGTAGAGTTCTACTGTGTTTCAGTATTGCAATGATAGATAGTATGTGCATATATTATACATATACATCAAGAAATAATGTAGATGAATAATAAATAATTAAGCAAATAACAAATGCTGGTTATTTGCAATATTTTTACCAAAAGATCAGTAGTTTCTGAACTATCCGAATTAAAATCAAACTCAAAGACCATTTTTCTCTTTTTGTTACTTTCTTCAGTGGGTACATTCTTGTTTTCTCTCTGCTGAATTTTTAGTTTCGTTGGTGTCTTCACAGTATATGCCTATCCAAAAAGAAAAACAATATATAACCCCATCAAATAGAACATATATTATTAATAAAGGAAGTTGAGTCTTTAGCAATCAATAACTCTCCATTATTATTGGCATATATATGAAATAGAAATTTTGGATAAGAACTTAATTCAGATGGTTTTGGTACTAAAACTTTTATAACTTTCTTCAAAAATATTTGCAATAGTGGACTTTCTTTGTCCTTCCTTTCAACTTACTGAAGGAAATAATGAGTTGGGGGGAGGCAGCAAGAGAAAGAGAGTGAGACTCCAGCTTCAGCAATCAACAATCTTAAGAGGGACTTTAATTTTTCTAGCCATGATTAAACACCAAAACGGAGTGAGCTTTGCTCTCTCTACAAAAATCTTAACTGATTTATGAGAAAATAGCTTTGCTTATTTTTTCTTGGTAAAGTAATTCACATTAGTCAATGTTTAGTATTCCATAATTACCCTGTAAGTTTTATAATTTAAGAAAAGTATCTTTAAAAAGTAAGGTCAGTGACATGAACCAAAATGGCAGAGTAAGGCGCTCCAAAAATTTGCTCTTTCATAAAGCAACAAATATACTGGTAAAAATGGTCAGAATCAGCTTTTTCATAACTCTGGAAATTAACCAAAAACTTGCTGCAACCTGGAGAGTATTTACTTTTTTAAAAAGTGGCTGAATCTGTAAGAACAGCAAGCTTTGTGGTGTCAGAAATCATAGAGCCTAAAAAGCTGTGGATTGACATACCCAAAGTCCTTAAAGAAAAGGAATTGTTACCAAATAATTCTATATCAAGCAAAACTATGCTTCAAAAATGAAGGAGAAATTAAGATATTCCTAGATACACAAAAACTGAGAGAAATTGTCACTAACAAACCTTCCCTAAAAGAAACTCTAAAGGGAGTTCTTCAGGCTGAAATGAAAGGACACTAGACTCAAATCCACATGAAGAAATAAAGAGCACCAGTAAAGGAAACTGCATAGGTAATTATAGAAGACAGTATAAATGTATTTTTGTTTGTAACTCTTCTTTTCTACCTGATTTAAAACACAGACATATAAAGCAATCATTATAATATTGTGGCAATGGATTTAAAATGCAAAACTGTGATTTGTATGACTTTGATAGTATAAAAGAGAGAGAGGTAATGAAGCTATATTGGGGAGAAGTTTTTGTATACCATTGAAATTCCATTGGTATTAATTCGAACTAATTATTTTAAGTTAAAGTGTTAACTGTAATTCTCAGGTAATCACTAAGAAAATAATTTTAAAAGTATAGTAAAAAAAAGAAGAGAATTAAAATGGTATACTAGAAAATATCTACCTAACACAAAAAAGACACTAATAGAGGGATACAGGGACAAAAAGACATAAGACACATCGAAAACAAAGAACAAAATGGTGGACATAAGTTCTACCTTATTAGTAATTACATTAAATGTAAGTCAAATTAAACTTTTCAATCAAGATGCAGAGATTGTCAAAATGAATGATGGAAAAAAGCAAGATCCAACTATAGACTGTCCACAAAAGACATATTTTAGTTCAATAACATGAGTAGTTTGAAAGCAAAAGATATATCATGTAAATAGTAAGCAAAAGAGAGCTGGAGTGGCTATCCTAGCCTCAGACAAAATAGACTTTTAGAAAAAAATGTTACTAGAGATGAAAAAGACACTTTATAAGGGTAAAAGGATCAATGCATCAAGGAAAAATAAGAGTTATAAATATACAAAACCCCAAAATACATGAATCAAAAACTGGGAAAAACAGATAATTCAACAATATTGTAGGAGACTTCCATACCCCTACTTTCAATAACGCAAAGAACAACTAGACAGAAGATCAGCAAGGAAATATATTTGAACAACACTATAAACCAACCAGATAGATATTTAGGAAATTCACAAATATAGGAATACAACATGCTTCTAAATAACAAATGGGTCAAAGAATAAATCACAAGGAAAATTAGAAAGTACTTTTGAGAAGAATGAAAAAGAAAACAGAACATACTCATGGAATACAGTGAAATCAGTGCTTAGAGAAGTTTATAGCTGCAAATGCCTACATTAAAAATTAAGATCAGGGGCCAGCCCCATGTGGCGTAGTGGTTAAGTCTGGTGCACTCCGTTTCGGAAGCCTGGGTTCATGGGTTCAGGTCTCAGGCATGGACATACAGCACTCGCCAAGCCATGCTGTGGTGGCAACCCACATACAAAATAGAGGAAGACTGGCACAGATGACAGCTCAGGGCTAATTTTCCTCAAACAAAAAAAAAAGGGAAGATTGGCAACAGGTGTTAGCTCAGAGCAAATATTCCTCACCAAAAAAAAAAAAATTAAGATCAAGATTAGGGAGACACGACAATTACATGCAGTGTGTGGTACCCTGGATTGGATCCTGGAAGAGAAAGAGAACATTAATAGAAAAACTACGAAATCCAAATAAGTCTGAAATTTAGTTAATAGTAATGAACCAATGTATGTTTCTTAGTTTTGACAAACATACATGGTAATGTAAGATGTTAATGATGGAAAAAACTGTGTGAGGGATATAAAACAATTCTCTGTACTATCTTTGCAACTTTTCTGTAAATTAAAAATTAGTTTCAAAAGGTTTTTTAAAAAGTAAGGTCACCACACCCACCAGAATGGCTAAAATCAAAAAGATGAAAAATACCAATTGGTACCAAGGACGTGGAGCAACTAGGACTCTCATTCATTAGTAGCTAGAGTGCAAATTGGTACAATCAGTTTTTTAAAAAAAACATGATTGGCAGTGTGATGCAAAAAGAAATATATATTTGGTCTTTGTCCCTGGTTCCTGACACAGAACTTCTAAAATCCTTGTAATTTCCTAAGTGATGGGGTGATAGGAGCATCTTTTGGTATAATATTTGGTCTTTGTCCCCAGTGATAACGATAGGAAAGTATTTTGTTATTCATAGTGAGCTTCTTTCAATTGTACCTGAGTTTATACTAATGAAAGAAGTGGTGGTATGGGGCTCCTAGATAGCTTCAGGATGGTGGCTGGTCGCAAGAAAGACCAAGGCTTGATTAGAAGTTTGGAACCCTTCAGCCCACCCCTTGACCTCCTGGGAGGGAAGAGGGGTTAGAGATTGAGTTAATCACCAATGGCCAATGATTTAATCAATCATGCCAGGTAATGAAACCTCCATAAAAACCCCTAAAAGACAGGGTTCAGAGAGCTTCCAGGTTGGTGAACACATGGAGGTACTGGAAGGATGGCTCTCCCAGAGAGGGTGGCACTCAAAGAGAGGGCATGAAGCTTCAGGCTCCTTCTCCCCTACCTTGCCCTATGCATCTTTTTCATTTGACTGTTCCTGAGTTGCATCCTTTACAATAAACCAGTAATAGTAAATAAAGTAATTTCCTGAGTTTTGTGAGTCATTCTAGCAAATTATTGAACCTGAGGAGAGGGCTGTGGGAACTTCCAATTTATATCCAGTTGGTCAGTAGTACAAGTGGCAAGCCAGGACTGTAATTGCCATCTAAAGTGAGAGTAGTCTTGTGGGATTGAAACCTTCACCTGTGGGGTCTACACTAACTCCAGGTAGTTAGTGTCAGAATCAGTTCAAATTGTAGGATACCCAGCTGGTGTCTGGAGTGTTGGAGAATTATTGGGTGTTTGGAAAAAAATCCACACATTTTCTATCAGAGTAAAAACAGTTCAGGCATTATCTATTAAGATGGAACATATTATGCATAACCCTATAACTCAGCAATTTCACTTCTAGGAAGATACCCAACAAAAATGCATACATGTCAAGTACTAGAATTTTTATAGCAATACTAGTCAGAAAAACCCAATCTGGAAACTATCAAAATGTCCATTAACAATATAAGAGAGAAACTGTGCTATGGTCACACAATGCAATATTATATAGAAATAAAAATAATCAACTTTGAGCAACAATATAGATGTATCTCACAAACATAATATTAAGAGAAAAAAGTTGAAACAAAAATAATATGATTCTATTATAGAAAATGCAAAAACAAGAACATATAATAAGTTGAGAGAGTGGCTAGCCTTGGGTGAGGGGCTAGTGACTGGAAGAGGGAACAAGAAGCTCTTCCAAGGTCACAGTAATATTCTGTGTTTTAATCTGAGTGCTGGTAAAAAGGTTATGTTTGGCTTGTGAAGATTCATCAAGTTCTATAATTAAGATCTATCATATTTCAATAAAAATTTTTTTAAGTAAGGTCATTCTTTAATAGAGATCATTTCATATTCTCAATAATATAGTAGTAAATACAACAAAATAATTTTATATAAAAGCCTCTCAACTGTGGTTTACTAATTTTCATAATTTCCACAAGGTGGATAATAGTATATATATAATAGGATGTGAGTCTGACACTTCCTTTTGCTTTGGAATTGTCACCTGGAGCAAAAAGCTGGGGGGGAAAGTGCTAGTAACTCATATTCTAAAGAAAGCTCACTATGATTAAGGCCAGATACTTCCCTAGGGCTCATTAATAAGTGGTAGAACCAGTCCTACAATCACCAAACGCCTTCCTTCTTCCCAGTTATTTTAAGGAAACTGGAGGGGGGAGGCATGAAATTTCAGCTTAGAGGTAGGTGCAGAGACAGGTTGAGACATTTTTCCCCTCAACTCCCAAGACAATTGAGGAGATAACTCTTAACAGCAGTCGTATAAAGACTAAGGGTGCCTTCAAGAAGGGAGACTGGTATCACATTCCCCAGCAGGATAAAAACCCAGGCAGAAAATTTGTTTATTGGTCTTTGTATCTGGCTGAGCAGAGGAAAAAGAAATTAGAGAGAGAGAGATGGCAGAGAAGCTGGGAGTGGGGAGCAAAAGTAGAGCATTCTGCATGGCCATTTAGCATGGAAAGGTTGAATGAATTCCCTATGGATTAAGCAGACACGGAAGATAGCTAGAATTGAGCCACCTCAGCAGTGGCACCTGCTCCATAAGGGCTGACTGCTAAGTAAAGGACTCCAGCAACAAGATGCTGTGGAGTAAACATCAAAGGTAAGTAACTGAGGTGATAGTGGAAAATGTCAAGTAAGAACCAGATTTCCCACATCAGGGACTATGCATTGGTGAATGCCAGAAAGTTATGAAATCTGCCCAAGTTGTCATCATGTTGTGGGCAATGATGGGAAAAAAAAATGAAACCATTTCATGCTGGTATCACAAAAAATTGAAACATTCAAGAAACTGGTTTTATATTTACGTGTGGGATATCAGATATGTGGTATATGATACCAGAACCTTCTTTTTTAACTAAAAAAATTACTACTTTCTTAGAAATTTTAGCAACCAACCTTTGGTAATGGTGTAGATACAGTACTTTTGGCAGATGTCCACAGATAATCTCTTTTATCTTTGGATTTTCCATGATCAGCTGATATGAAGTTTCGAGATATATTTTGTGAAGGAGCTGCTTTAGAATCAAATTTCTGATAACTAGTTTCAGGTGTTTCAAATAAAGATGTCTGTATTTTCTGTCGAACAACAAAGGTGAATAAAATCATCACTAAACATCATTTTAATTAAAGTGCAGCAACTATTAAAAATAACACTGGAATAAACTAAAATTTACCCCAAAATTTATTATTGACTAGATAACTTTGAATAAATTACATTTGTCTTCTTTTTAACTTTATTTCCCCATTTAAGATGAAAATGCTATCTGCCCCTCTCTATCTTCACAGAATTGCTGCTGGAAAAAAGATTAGGAAGTAAGATCACTAGGACTGGGCAAGAAACCTACAAATCACCTCATTTAGCTCCTTGATTATATAGATAGATAAATTTAAGCCTGGAGATACTTGGAGATTTACTTAGCATTTTTTCACAGAGTTGCATTTCCGTATCCTTTTTCCTAAATATTTCTACATCATAGTTGATAACAATTTTTTTTTAAAGATTTTATTTTTTTCCTTTTTCTCCCCAAAGCCCCCCGGTACATAGTTGTATATTCTTTGTTGTGGGTCCTTCTAGTTGTGGCATGCGGGACGCCGCCCCAGCGTGGCCCAATGAGCAGTGCCATGTCCGCGCCCAGGCCCGAACCAATGAAAGGCCGGGCAGCCTGCAGCGGAGCACGTGAACCCAACCACTCAGCCACGGGGTCAGCCCCCGATAACACAATTTTGATGAAAGCAAATTATTTTCTGCTCTCCGGATTTGTCAGGAGACAGCCTCAGAATCTCCAAAATGTAACTGCTTTCATGGACAAACTTTTCTCCCCCAAAGAGGATTGAGAATGGCAACTACACCACCTTGTGGCCAAGTCTGGGAATTAACATTTCCCTGGTAGCCTAAAAGAAAATGCACCCCCATTCTAGAACACTGAAATAACCCTCTTCATAATACAGCATGAAAATGTATGTACTTTCCTACAAGTTACATTCTTTTCTGAATGTTACATTTCCAGTGATGCATATATACATAACATGCCTAATTTTCTCTGTTGTATTTTTTAAACACTTACAAGACGTTTCCTGTATGCCAATTACTATTTTAAAGGCTTTACAATTATCTAATTTAATCCTCATAACAACTTTAGGAAATAAGCACTATTATTATCCCTTCATAGATGAGGAAACTGAGGCATGAAGAAGTTGTTACTTTCCCAAACTCAGAAATGTTTGATAAACCTAATGACTATTATATATAAGGCTTGTGATATTTCAATATTGCTGGAATAAAGTATGGGAAACAATAGCGTATTTATATTTCTTAATTTCCTTTATAATTTTCTCATTATTTGCGCTGTATATATCCAAAACCACAGATAAAATATAGGGCATTTACTAATCTACTTGATAACAGATATAATAATGAGTATATATTACTGGAATTATATATGAATCAAAAAAACTCTATAAGAATATGTGATATATACTTTCATAATACACATATATTCTATATTTAGAAATGAATATTAGGGTTTACCCAATTTATTTATCTTCATCAGACACTTCCCTTAGACTATATCTAACCCTGCTAGCTAAGTTTAATGTGACAATAATTTCTCCAAATACAATGTTTCCAAGTGTCTATGTAGTGTCTGAGACAAATGAAGCACTCAATATTTATTCACAGGTACAGTTTTCTTTCCTTCTTTTCTTTCTTTGAACCCTAATGTAACAAAATTTAGCACTGTCTATGTTTAACAACTGAATTATTTTCAACTACTCTGTCACTTTCAGTCTATAGTCAAAGCAATCTCTGTGGGAACTTAGGAGACTACACCACTGTGTATAAAGAGTATTTAATCATTTTAACTAAAACTTTCAATGAAAATTCTTCTGTAATAATCCTATATTACCAAATGGATTAGGAGCTGAGGGGCACCCCTTTTTTCCTCATACTTCTGCTTTCTTCCATGTGCAGGGAGCACCACTAGGGTAACATTTCTAACCTCTCTGTTTCCTTAGGGGAGAAGCAAAGACTTGATGACCCTGGTGAATCTGGAAGGAGAAACTGGGTGCATATATAGTCCAGCTCCTTCCTTATTCCTTCTCTTGGGTACCAAAGTACACACCCTGCTCTGCTCCTTTATGCCGTACGTTTTACCAGAGTAGACCATCAAGTGAGTAGAGTTGTCCCAGTCCAGCTCTACCTGTGACAGAGTAGGTAAATTTGTCTAATTTGGGATTTTAGGATGAAGAAATCCTCTTGCCTTCAAATATAAGCCACATTCTCCAGTATCAGTTATCAATAATAAAGATAATATTTTGGTTTTCATTGTCTTTCTCAATTGGTTCAGACTTAAGTAAGGAAAGCAGGATGTCATTTATTCAGCCCTCTCAAAACCCATAATCTAAATATAAGCTTTAGAATTTTTAATGAAAATATTTTGCCTCTAACATTGGAAATTCCTTGAGAGAAACACAGAAGTTCCTAACTAACTTAATACTATAATAAAAATTACAGAAGATTGAAATCTTCTCAATCCCCAAACAAATGCTTTGAAATTTTTAGCTAATGTTTTTGAATTAATAAATACCAAGAAACAATTTAGGAAATGAAATTGCGTGATATATTTTAAATGTTCTTTTCCTATTTATGAAAAAGAATTTCTAAGCAGATGTTAGCAAACGAATTGGTTATAAGGAAAACCTATGAGAATTATATAAAACACTTACCTTGTCTTTTTTTTCTTTGAGAGTAACTGTGTTTTCTTTTGCCTCTCTTTTGAGTTTTTCCTATTAAAAATGAATATCAAGTTCATACAACGTAATCATTAATATTATCACAAACAAATGTTCCTATTATCAAAATCTTTCCTAGGAAGTATTAACAAAGAAAGAATACTGACTTCTAAATGTTATCAAATAATAAAAAGAAAAAAGAAAAATGAATTAGTTCCTTTCTACGGAGGTATGCTATTTGGTTTTATTTTTTTTAAAGTCTAATCTCTCTTTAGTACGTATCTGTGGAATCTTGAGTAAGTCTTTTAAAACTCTGAATACCAGCTTTCTCACTTGCAAAATGAAGTGGATGGACCAGATTATAAAGTAAGGGAAACACACAAGTAACTAACTGTGAAGAGCTGCAAAAAGATCCAAAATATTATGGGCCTTTAGAGGCAGAATCCACTTTTTCTTTGTGTGTTGAAAAAAGGTACATTTCAGTTAGACTTTGAATAATGAACTTTCAACATGAGATAAACAGGGATGAGGGATAAAATGAAAGTATAAAAAAGTATAAAATACTTAGGAAATAATACATCATTTTTGCTGGAGATTAGGGTGTATGTATTAGTAGGAAAAAAAGAAGAATTAACCCTGGCCTACAGAAAAGAACATGTAGTATGCCTTTAATATGACAGTCATCTGGAGAACAGACTTGTTACAGCTCCAGGGAGCCTTAAATGTCTCAGACAAAGAAAAGTTCTAATATGCAGAACTTTAGGCAAACTTGCCTTGCTTGCCCATGATACCTAAGCCAATATCTATCCTCACTGAATACCTTGTGCACACCATGGTATCTCTCCCACAGTGTTGCTCCTAACCAGAGAACTCACTTCACCATGAAAGAATACTGGCAGTAAGCTGAATCTAACAGCTTTTTTTAATGTATCCTATCAACCACCAATGGTTGATCTTCAGTTATAGTGACAACTAGGGTCTACTCTAAGGGGCTGGAATGCCATCTTCTAGGAGAAAGTATATCCTCTAAACTAGCAACATTGCACTGACTCTCAGTTAGAATACATATCTTGGCTTCTAGAGGACAGAAGGGAGAAAGCACCTCCCGCAATGCACTGTCTCCACAACTCGGACTTTTGCTGGTCTGGAGATCTTAGTACAGTCTGTTCTAATACAATATTTATTTCCAAGGTGTGAATTAGCTCGTATACAAACATGAATCTTTGGTAGTGGTTAATTGATCATGAGTTCCCTAAGACCAAAGAGATGGACCATCCACTAAGATCTCTATGCCTCAGTGAATAACTAAATATGCCTGTAGTATGGTCTGGCAAACAGGAACGATGATCTACAGGAATAGAGAGTGACAGCCCTGTGCCTGAATTTCAGACCTAAATAAATTTACAAATCTGGAACTCACTAAATTAAAAGGAAGCCTGGTACTCTTGTGGAAGGATCTTGTAATAATATCACAAATACATAATGCATCCCTCCTACTATCTTGTACGCTGAGAGAAATACTAAGACTGACAGGTAACTGGACATTGACTCTTAGCTAACACCAATTCTTGTAATCTATAATGTTACTATTTTTTCACTAGTCACTAAGTATTAGGGTCAGGTGATAAATGGAATTTAATCCAAGTACACCTTGTAGTGAACCCATGGAACCATAAACCTATTCTGTGGTCATTTCTTTAGATCTTGAGTATACAGTTCGAACAGATAAACTCAGTAAGTGGTACAATCTCCATATCGAATCTGACCAGAGAGTGAGAGATTTTAAGTTTGGAAGGACCAAGTGGAAGACTTTTAAATTCTCCCTCCACATCAAGCATGAAAACATATACACCAAATACCACATCTCACCCATGCAGAGATTAAGGTCCCATCAAACCATGAAAGATGTAGGGAAGGTGATTTATCACAGTCCCACAAAGCCAACCTATTTTAATTGGAAGCTAACATTGTCATCTGGTAACAATTTCTTCATACCAATGGGTAGGTAAAATACGGACTGTCATATTGACTGGGATCAAAATTGAGAACTAAGAAAAAAGCTGCATATAAAAGATGAACTGAATCTATGTAAATATAAAGCTCAAGTTAAACAAATACCAGAATCATGGTTACAGAACAGGATGTACATTTTGATTAATCTTGACAATGTAAAATAATAAAATAAATAGAAAAATTGAATATGCAGAAGAAGAGGCAGTAGGAGAAAGTGTTAGATATACTGCTTAAAAATATAAAGGTAACCAGTAAATTAATTAAAAAGGCTACACATGCCTTCCAAATCAACCAAAGCAAGACGCAAACACATACACTTTAGAGAAAAAGAAAGAAAATAAAATATTATCATGTAGTATGAAATAAGATGATAGAAACATGATTAAAATATATTATCATACTGATAAAGGGCTAATATCCAGAATATATAAGGAACTCTAATAACTCAACAACAAAAAACAAATAATTTAAAAAGGGGCAAAGGACTTGAATAGACAATTCTCCGAAAAAGATAGAAATGGCCAACAAGCATATGAAAAGATGCTTGACATCACTAATCATAAGAGAAATGCAAATCAAAACCAAAATGAGATATCACTCATTAGGATGGCCACTATCAAAATAACAGAAAATAACAAGTGTTGGTGAGGATACAGAGAAATTGGAACCCTTGTGCACTGTTGCTGGGAATATAAAATGGTATAGTTGCTATGCAAAACAGTATGGAGATATCTCAAAAAACTAATAGTAGAATTACCATATTATCCAGCAATCCCACTTCTGAGTATATATTGAAAAGAATTCAAAGCAGGATCTCCAAGAGATATTTGCAAACCCATGTTCATTACAACATTTTTCACAATATCCAAGAGGTTCAAGCAATCCAAATGTCCATCGACAAGTGAATGGATAAAGAAAATGTGGTATATACACACAATGAAATATTATGCAGCCTTAAAAAAGAAGGAAATTTGGTCACATGCTACAGTATGGATGAACCTTGAAGACACTATGCTAATTGAAATAATACAACCAGAAAGACAAATACTACATGATTCTACTTATATGAAGTATATGAAGTAGTTAAAATCAAAGAAACAGAGAGTATGAAGGCAATTGCAAATGTCTTTTTGGGGAAACGAGGTTGGGGCGAAGGGGAAGGGGAATTAGTGTTTAACGCATACAGAGCTTCAGTTTTACAAGATGAAAAAGTTCTAGAGATCTATTGCACAACAATGTGTATATACTTAAAACTACTAAAATGTACACTTAAAAAGTGTTAAGATGGATAGTAAATTTAATGATATGCATTTTTTACCACAATTAAAAAAAGTAAAACCACAAACCATTCTATCTTATGATATCAATATAAAAGTACTAAATAAAACAGTTGTCCTTTGGTATCCATAGGGGATTGATTCCAGGACCCCCTGCATTACAAAATCCACAATCCACAAAATCCACAAATGCTCAAGTCTCTTATATAAAATGGCATAGAATTTGCATATAACCTATGCACATCCTCCCATATACCTTAAATCATCTCTAGCTTACTTATAATACCTAATACAATGTAAATGCCATGTAAATAGTTGTTATACTGTATTGTTTAGGGAATAATGATAGGGAAGAAAAGTTTGTCCACATTCAGTACAGATGTAACTATTGTAGTAGGCCTTTCAATCTGTGATTGGTTGAATCTGCAGATGTAGAACCTGCAGATATGGAGGGTCAACTGTATTAGCCAAAAGAATACATCACATTTTTAAAAATTTTTCATGACCAAATGGAGTTTATTCCAGAAATGCAAGAATAACCTTAAAAATACATATCATATAAATAAATCAGGAAAACTAACCAATTAGAGCAAAGGAGACTTCTCAGATTAGAGACTCAATCAAGGTTAATAAATAATGGACAAAAACATAAGACAAGAACAAAAAGAAAGTGAGGGTCACAATATGAGTATCAGACAAAGCTGACTTCAAGGAAAAAAGAGCAAAGAGAGAGGATACAGTTTCCAAGGAAAAATTAATTAGTATAAACTTTTATACAACAAATAGTACTCATCAAAACACATAAAGCAAAACTGCTTGAGAATTCAAAAAGAAGAGAAAAATAATAGTAATAGAACCATTAAAGCCTTCTTTCAGCTCATGACTGATCAAATAGAAAAAATACATAACAAAGTTAAAGTAGATGTCAATAAAATAATTGATACAATAGGTCAAACTTCTTGGTAAAGATGGTAGAATAAAGCCAGATTATAAAATCTTCCTCCCCCTAAACAAAAAGGAATGAAAGGGAGGAAAGGAAAGTAGTTAAGAACAGGCAAAAATAAATTCAACAACACAAACACACAATCTCATGCCATAATCTCTGATTCTAGTGAGGCTCAGCATGAGAGCCACAGAGTACAGTTGTGTTGATATGACCCTACTCAATGTGGCTCCTAACCTAATCACCACTTGCATAGTATTGGTGAAAGTGAACACATATAATAATAAGGGTAACTATCACTAATATATCTGAATTTGATAAGAAGATGTCTAAGGGGATAAGTAGACAGTCCAGGAAAAAGAGGCCTAGAAAATGCATAGTGAAAGGCAGGAAAAACAACTAAATCTTATCATTTTGGTTTCTCTAATCTGGGCAAAGAAAGCACAATAACCATATCCATACAGTATTAATTATCCCTGTTAATAAATAGAACAAACTAGAAATAAAGTAACAAGTTAAGATTTAAAGCAAAAAATTCTCCGGAAGGAGCAGAAAACACAAAAAGAAGAGATTCATTAAGAAACCACATGAATTTTGTCCTTTTACCTAGCCCCCCTCTCATCACCCAGAAGGTGGAGTATACCAAATCATGATATTCTTATCTTTTCCCTCATAAAATTGGGTAAGTGAGGAAATACAGCTTGAAGAGAGAGCGGTAAGATAGCAAAAATGAATAACCACAGCTTATCTTCTCAAACAGACACACAGGCTCCAGGGCTTCACATTAAGTTTATGAAATGATCTGAAGGTTGAGGACAAAG